TATGAATTCTTTTGTGTTGAGAAATGTGTGATCTTTGATAAAAAGCTTTTCCATATTCTTTACACTTGTATAACTTTTCCCCAGTATTAATTCTCTGTTGTTGAATAAGGCATGATCTTTGATTAAAAGCTTTGCCACAGTATTTGCCTTTGTATGGCTTTTCTCCCATATGAAGTCTCTGGGGTTCACTAAGGAATGATCTTCAATTAAAAGCTTTGCCACATTATTGATATTTATATGGCTTCTCCCCAGTATGAATTCTCTGATGTTTACTAAGGCATGATTTTTTATTAAAAGCTTTGCCACATTCTTTACATTTGTATGGCTTCTCTCCAGTATGAATTATCTGGTGTTGAGTAAGGTTTGATATTTGATTAAAAGCTTTGCCACATTCTTTACCTTTGTATGGTTTCTCCCCAGATGAATTATCTGGTGTTGAGTAAGGTGTGATTTTTGATTAAAAGCTGTGCCACATTCTTTACCTTTGTATGGTTTCTCCCTAGTATAAATTCTCTGGTGTTGTATAAAGTATAATCTTCCATTAAAAGTTTTGCCACATTCTTTGCATTTGTATGGCTTTTCTCCAGTATGAATTCTTTGGTGTTTAGTAAGATATAAATTTTGATTAAAAGCTTTGCCACATTCTTTACATTTGTATGGCTTCTCCCCAGTATGAATTTTCTGGTGTTTACTAAAATTTGATTTTTGATTAAATGCTTTGCCACATTCTTTGCAATTGTATGGCTTTTCTCCATTATGAATTATCTGGTGTTTAGTAAGGCTTGACTTTTGATAAAAAGCTTTGTCACATTCTTTACATTTGTATGGCTTCTCCCCAGTATGAATTTTCTGGTGTTTACTAAGGCTTGATTTTTGATTAAATGCTTTTCCACATTGTTTACATTTGTATGGTTTCTCCCTAGTATGAATTCTCTGGTGTTGAGTAAGGTATGATCTTTGATTAAAAGCTTTGCCACATTCTTTACATCTGTATGGCTTTTCACCAGTATGAATCAGCTGGTGAATAATAAGTCCTGAGTTTCCACTAAAAGCTTTGCCACATATTTTACATTTGTAGGGGTTTTCTCCAGTATGAATTTTCTGATGTTGAGTAAGGCATGATTTTTGATTAAAAGCTTTGTCACATTCTTTACATTTGTAAGGTTTCTCTGCAGTATGAATTCTCTGGTGTTGAATAA